AAGGCCAGGAGGGCCCCCGCGCAGTGCTCACACCTGCAACCCCAGCTGCCTGGGAGGCTAAGACAGGTGAGTTGTGAGTTCAAACCAGCTTCAGCAAGAGTGAGGCACTAAGCAACTGTCCTTAAATAGAATACAAAATAGGGCTGGGGATGTGGTTCAGTGGTCGAGTGCTCCTGAGTTCAATCCCCGATACCAAAAATATAAACAAATAAATAAAAAAAGAAGGCCAGGCCGGCACTGACCAAGGGAGGGATGGAGGAGAGGCAGGCAGTGGCCCCAGGCAGGCTTCAGCCCATGTGTGGTGCCCAACAGCAGGTGAGCCCTGGGTTGCATTGACCTCGAGGGCTCTGTTCCTGGAGGCAGGCGGGTGGGGGGCTGCTCAGCTTCTTCTTCCCCCTTATTATTTTTGCAGTGCTGGAGATGGGACAGTGCCTTATGTATGCTAGGCGCGTGCTCACCACAGAGCTACAGCCCCTCTGTGTGTGTGCGCGCGCGCGTGTGCATGTTTGTACACACACACACACACACGTGCACACCAGGTTATTAAAAAGAGGCACCTATCTGGGCAGAGTGGCAAGTTCAAGGCCAGCCTAGGCAACTTAGTGAGACCCTGTATCAGAATGAAACAGGGCTGGAGGTATAGCTCAGTGGTAGAGTGTTCGCCTCACAGACACAATGTCCTGGACTCAATCCCAATACTGGGGGCGGGGAGAGAAAGACACCTGGTCAACCTCAAATAGCAAGCCCCTCCTGTTCACCTCACCTGCCCCCTCATCATCTTGGTACTACAAAAATATATAGACATGTCTCTTAGTTTAAGAGTGTTTAGAACAAGCAACATTGTTCTATAAATCAGGGATTCCTAAACTTGATTACACACTGGAATAGTGGGCATTTTTTTTTTTTTTTTTTTGGTACTGGAGATTGAACCCAGGGGCATTTAAGCACTGAGCCACATCCCTACCCTTTTTTTTATATATTATTTAGAGAGAGAGTCTCGCTGAATTGCTAAGTGCCTCCCTAGCCTCGGCTTCCTGGGCTGCTGGGATTACAAGTGTGCACCACTGGGCCCAGCAGCCCCAGCCCTTTATGTTTTATTTTGTGACAGGGTCTTGCTAAATTACTCAGGGCCTTGCTAATTTGCTGATGCTGGCCTTGAACTTGTGATCCTCCTGCCTCAGCCTCCTGAGAGTTGCTGGGATTACAGAAGAGGGCATTTGTGCCCAGATGAAAAAGAAGCTTAGAGAAGGATTCATCAAATTGGTCTAAAAACACAGAAAGGTCAAGCAATGCTAGAGAGGTCTCAGTAGAACAAGAAATAAAGAGAAAGAGAAAACACAGGCCATTTTCTACATTTTCATGGCGCATCAAAGCTGTTGTGCCACAACTTGATCCTTGCGGGAGGAATTACTATCAAACTCACTCAGATGGGTGTTGGCGAAAACGTACCCCTCCTGTGGCATGCTGCCCGCACTTGTGAGTTCCCTGGCACTTGATCTTCCTTCCTCTCGAATTTGCCAGCAGCCCTGTGTTGGGGAGATACCCTGTCTCACAACAAATGTTTGGGGGTGCCTTCCTCTGGTCTTGGCATGATTTTCTGTCCAGGGAGTGAATCACAGACAGTGAGGCAGGGTCCCTGGGTTCAGGACCTCCTGGGCTTCCTGCCTGAGAGAGCAGCCGGCTCTTGGGGCAGCAGTCTATCACTCCTGACGTCAAATCTGCTTCAATGAATGGGTTTCCTTTTCCGTTTGGGAACTCAAAGTATCTGTCATCCGTCCCATCAACCTCTCCTTCTCACCCGGGTACCTCCTGTTTGGGAAGGAGCTAGCTGGAATAATGAGAAGGTGGTGAGTGGGGGCAGGAGAATGGGCAGGACTCTGTGGATGGGCCCCCTGGTTGCGTGGGGGTGGGGTGGGGGGTGGTGTCAGAAGAAGATGTCTCCTCATCAGGGTCCTCAAGGTGTGCATCCAGAGCCCCCATCAGGGGTAGTAGTATCTGCCCCAGATCGTGAACCCTCCAAGTAGCTTTGGGACACAAGAATGCTCCCAGGCAGGCTCTCTGGCCCCTTGTTATCTGGGAGAGTCTTATCTCCTCAACTAACAAGTTGATTAGCCCAGGTGAGAACCTCCCAGTAGAAAGAATGTGTGTGCTGTCACCCTGTAAATGGAAGCATTTAAAGATTGCTTAATCTCTAGAAGCCATTGTTTAAGATTTTTGCAAGTTCTTGGACTAAGTCAGGGTGGCTTCCCTCTGGTTGTGGCTCAGCCAGTTTCCGAACAGCCTTGAAGGCCAGGGGCTCTCGGCATGTGGCTTCAGGAGGGACTGTGCCACTCCCTGTTGTTTATCCTTCATGTAAACATGGATGAGTACAACTTGCCATGCCGTCAATCTCACTGTCTGTTTCTGCAACTTATTTTAGACTGGAAATTCCCAGAGAGATGGTACTCTGCTTTCAATACCTCACACAGCAAAGAACCACACACAAGAAACAGCTTTGAGTTCTTTTCAGGATGGGTAGGCAGTTAGGGTGCTCCTGAGGTCCACATGGTGCTCTCTCCTGAGTGGGATGGTGCGGCCATACGGAAGATGCTTAGGAGTGTGTGCCGGGCACTGTGCAAAGAGGAAACATGCAGTGGATGGTCTCATCCTAGTTACTGGAAGTTAGGAAATTTCATGATTCACCATTTCTTTCTATTTTCTTTTCTTTGGTGATACTTTGGATGGAATCCAGGGCTTCATGCATGCTAGGCAAGCACTATATTCCTGGCCTTTTAAATTTTTTATTTTATTATTTTTAAAATTAACCAATTATCATTATATTTTTAAATTTATTTTTTAGTTGTAGTTGGACACTATACTTTTATTTATTTTTATGTGGTGCTGAGGATCGAACCCAGGGCCCCGCATGTGCAAGGCGAGCATTCCACCGCTGAGCCATAACCCCAGCCCCTCATTATTATTATATATTTTTTGGGGTACTGGGAATGGAACCCAGGGGCACTTCACCACTGAACTATATTCCCAGCCCTTTTTAAATTTTGAGACAGGGTCTCACTAATTTGCTTAGGGCCTTGCTAAATAGCTGAGGCTGGCCTGGAATTTGCGATCCTCCTGCCTTAGCCTCTAGAGTTGCTGGGATTACAAACATGTGCCACTGTGCCCTACTTAATAATTCCTTAATAATTTTCCATTTCTTTCTTTCTTTTTTTTTTTTGTGGTGCCAGGGATTGAACCCAGGGCCTTGTGCATATGAAGCAAGCACTCTACCAACTGAGGTATGTCCCCAGCCCCTAATTCACCATTTCTAACTTGGAAAAGTTGAATCAAATTCCACCTAGGGTTTGTAAAACTATATAAACTGGAAAGAAAATGAAAATCAATCTAAGATACTCATTTGATTGCAAAAAAATTTAGGAAGTCCTAAACAGCATCAAATAGTTGACATTAATATTTTGGTGTATTTCATATTGTAGTATCTTTGTCTCTCTCAATTTTTAAAAAAAATATGTATTTTTTTTTAGTTTTAGGTGGACACAATATCTTTATTTTACATTTATGTGGTGCTGAGGATCGAACCCAGTGCCTCGTACATGCTAGGCGAGCACTCTACCACTGAGTCACGATCCCAGCCCAATCTCTCTCAATTTTTAATGAAATTAGATAGTTTCTATGCTACTCATGGGTAACTGGTTTTTACACATCATGTCACCAGATATTCCTCTGGAACATCACTTTTCATGGAGGTATGGCCTTCCAATGTACTGATGTGCCACTGTGAATTTACCCCCCCCCCATAGATGGCTTCCGTGACCTATCATAAAAAACACTTGAGGTGAACATTCTTGTGGGAATGCGTAATTAACTTCCTTGGGATGATCTGGATGTTGTTTTCAGTGTGACCATATCATTTAATTCTCACAGCACCCTTGGGATAAGTAGGATACGATTACATTTTACAGCTTTTCCAGTTTCCAAGTCCAGCCTTCGTGGATGCTAGCCAGGATTACAGAGCAGAGCTCCCCTCTCCTGCCTTTCAGAGATCTGCAAGCTTTTCCTTTCCTTTCCTTTCTTTTGGCAGTGCTGGGGATTGAATTGAGGACTAGGTAAATTCTTTACCACTGACCCATACCCCTGAGCCTCCTCCTACTTAAAATTAGCTGTAGAAAGTATTCATGGCTTGCGAGGCATGGTGATGAGGCATGATCCCAGTCACTTGGGAGGCTGAGGAAGGAGGATCACGAATTCAAAGCCAGCCTCTGCAAAAATGAGGCTCTAAGCAAACTCGGTGAGGCCCTGTCTCCAAATAAAATACAAAAAAGGGCTGGGGGATGTGGATCAGTGGTCGAGGGCCCGAGTTCAATCCCCAATACCAAAAATAAATAAATAAAGAAAGAAAAAGAAAAAGAAAAAAGCCAGCCTTAGCAACTTAGTGAGATCCCTGTCACAAAATATTAAAAAGTGCCGGGGACATGCTTCAGTGGTGGTTAAGCACCCCCTGTGTACCCTGTACCAAAAAAAAAAGAAAAGAAAAAGAAAAAGAAAAAAAAAAGTGTTGGTGGCTCATAGGCTTGTGTTGATTCCGTTTACTGAGGTGCAAACCTGTGCACTTCCAGGCGCCAGGGCTGACCAGGGGACTGGTCACATTAGGAGGGCGGAGGACACCCTATTTATCTCACAGAGGTTTTGTTCCGTCCGCTCAGGTGCAGCCTGACGCTGACCACGACCGTCCGCGGGGAGTCGGCCCCGGTCCCGGGTGGGCGGCTTGGAGGGTCAGCGTCGAGCAAGACCAGCGCCTCGGAGGCGCGCACGAGCCCGCCCGCCCGCTCAAGCGCAGCCCGACAGGACCACGCGGTTGGTTCCGCGGACAGCCGGCCGGGCCCACCGAACGCGGGCCGCCCCACGCCTGCGCCCTTCCCGCGGACTCCCGGGGACTCCCGCGCCTGCGCGCTGCCGCCGTGTCCGCGCTCGTGTTTCCAATAAAGTTCGCGCGCGCCGGAAGCGGAAGCGGCGAGTCTCCATGGCGGCGGCGGCGGCGGCGCCGGTGTTCTGGAGGCGGCTGCTGGGTCTGCTGCCGGGCCGGCCCGGGCTGGCCGCGCTCCTGGGGCGCCTGTCCGACCGCCTGGGCAGGAGCCGGGACCGCCGGCGCAGGTGAGGGCGGCCCCCGCCGCGGCCGCGAGCCCTGGAGGCGGCGCTGGGTGCGCTTCGGGCGCCGGCGAGCTGCGGGCCTTGGGCAGAGCCTGGCGGGGGCCGGGGAGCGCGTGGACGGCCCGGTCCGGGTCCTCTCTGGGCCCGGGACGACTGTGCCTTACGCCGCCGAGGGCCGGCGTGGCGGGAGTGAATCAGCCGGGCCCGCCCGCGGCGGGCGCGCGGCCCTCGCAGCCCGGCTCGAGAGGCTGTTGGGCAATCCTGAGTCAGTGGCGCTTGGGCGAGGGAAGAGGAACCGCCGAGAGCCCTGTCACGCTGTTCAAGGGCCTGCGCTCTGGAAAAGTACTGGAGTGAGTTGTGTCAATGGTGAAAGGGGCTCGTGGTCTTGGAGAGCAGACACTGGCCAAGAAGGCGCCGGCCTGAGAGGCCTGCTGCTGTCGCTGCTGTTGAAGGAAGGGAAAGGTGATTCTCCTGTGTGCAAATGGATTTCTTATTAGGGACATTTGGCCCTTATGCTCGATCCCCAAGAAAAGGTCTTCCAACTGCATCCTGTAGTTGAGGTTGCATTGTCTTAGGCGTCCCTAGGCTGAGATGGGGCCTTCTTGCTTGTGGGACAGAGACCCGCGTTTCAGTTATGTTCTGATTCTGGGTATGGAGGGGAGCTTGTTCTTATTGAGTAACTGCAAGATTTTCAGCAAAAACTGAAGTTTGATTTAGGGGAACTTTTAGGTGATAGAATCAAGGCAGGAAGGAACTCTTGGAAGCCTACTGATCAGAAGGGCCCAGGTTTCACAATAAGACACCCCCTACCTCCTCACACTCCAGGGGGAGCTGGAGTGTAGAAGAGGTAGTAGCCTCTGTATTTTCCGTAATTGATGCTTAGCCAGAGACCTGTCATTCCATTGGGTCGTGAAGTCAGATGATTTGTCTACCCCCCTGGCATCAAATTACTGAGAAGTTTGGTTTAAAGTTTCAAAACATGTTCTACCATCAAAGACAGGCTGTTTAGGTAGGCCCCTTTGTTATGCCCTTTCATATGTTCAAACTGTGAAAACCATGTTATTAATCTATGTTGTCTTTGGAATTGATTACTTGGGGCAGTTTCTACAAATTGTTTAAAAATATATATATAGTTGTAGATGGATACAATGCCTTTTATGTTTATGTGTTGCTGAGGATTGAAGTCAGTGCCTTCCACATGCAAGGCGAGTACTCTATCACTGAGCTACAGGCCCAGCCCCTACAAGTTGTTTTTAAAAAGGCATTTCTCTTGAAAGAGAGAGAGAGAGAGAGAGAGAGTGTGTGTGTGTGTGTGTGTGTGTGTGTGTGTGTGTTGAGAGGCAGTGCAGGTATGGGTAGAGTCTAAATTAGTTGACTTCCCAAAGTTTTTTGTAACTGGTGTCAATGGGATGTAGTTTGTGTGGCTCCATATTTCTTCATGATTAAGTTGGGAGGGAGCCAGTTGTTTCTCTGAGTCAACAGTTTAATCAAAAGCTCAGTTTCTTGGGCATTAAGACAGAAGTTCTTGTTTTATACTCCTTGGAAATAATACCTATGGTAGAATTGAGGATAAATACTTTGATCAGTGTTGAGTGATACTGTAGGTTTTTGACCTGTCCTTTGCCTTGTATGGTTTGCAGATTTCTTTTCTTTTTCTTTTGGTACTGGGGATAAGACTGAGCCATACCCCCACCCCTTTTTAAAACTTTTTTTTCCCCCAACCCCCCTTAAAACTTTTTTATGTTGAGACAGGGTCTTACTAAGTTGCTGGGGCTGACATTGAACTTGTGGTCTTCCTGCCTAGCCTCTCTGGTTGGCTGGGATTACTGGTGTGTGCCACCGTGCTAGGACTTGCAGACTTTTTTTTCTGGCTCTTTGTGGCCTGGGTGTTTGGAGTTATTCATGTCTGTCATGGCCACTCACCCACTGTTGGCTGCTGACTTTCGTTTCTTCTCCATTGTTCTGCTGCACCTCCCAATTCCTCATTCCCCAAATGATGTGGTTTCTTGTAACTCTCTGATCATTGATTCATTGATAATAGTTCTGTGTAGTCATGAGCTCAAGTTATTTTAGATTTCAGCTTGCCAGTCTGACTCAACATTGGGGGTGGGGGTGCTGGTGCATCCTTGTGGCTAGCAAGAGGAACAGTGCTCGTTGCTTTTACTGCCGTGGTTTCCTTTCAGGCTTAGAAATGGCTGTAGAGACCGAGAACTCTACTTAAGGTCATTTCTAATTAGTGATCTCGAAATACTGTTATTTCCTCTTAAGCAAGCATCTGACTCATTACCATTAGGGAACTCTGGATAATTCATTTATTTGTCACGTGTACAGAGCACTGCTGTGCTAGGTACCAGGGGAAGCAATGATAAAGATATAGCCCTGCCTTCAAGATGGCCAAACCCATGAACAGTGACAGGAAAGTAAGGTAGAAGGGCATGGTGGTACGTGGAGGCTCCTGGAGGCCACAGAAAGCTTCCTGGTGCTGTAATTGAGCTGTTTTGAAGGAGGAGCAGGAGTAGGCAAGGTGAAGAAGAGGGGGAGTGAGTGTTCAAGGAAGGAGTGCAGTGGCAGGCAGTTCCCAGATTCCATACTCAGTGTCATTTCTAGGAGCTGATGTGAGTACTCTGTAGGCAAGAGGAGAGGACTAGAAGCCAGCCAGCCCTCTGGGCCAAAAGACCCAGGAGGCAAGTTCTATCTCTCAAGTATGATTTCTTTTGCTCATGGTCCAGACCTGAGTGTCAGGGTTCATGAAGTCAGGAGCAGTGGGAGTAAAAGAGGGTTGGATTTAGTCAGCACTGCTTAGGGGTGTAGGGGATGCTTTAGTGACTGTGGATGGTGGCACTTCATTGAAACAGGGAGTGAGAAAGAGGACCAGGCCGGGTGAGGTGGCGCATGCCTGTAATCCCAGCAGTTTGGGAGGCTGAGGCAGGAGGATCACAAGTTCAAAGCCAGCATAAGCAACTCAGTGAGACCCTGTCTCTAAATAAAATACAAAAAATACAAAAGGCCTGGGGATGTGGCTCAGTAGTTAAGTACCCCTGGGTTCAATCCCTGGTACCATTTAAAAAAAAAAAATAGGACTAGGTTTGGGGATGGTGAAAAGGTCATTAGGGGCCCATTAATTAGTATCCAGGTGCGTGAGATGGAGATGTTCAGTGGGCTGTGGGAGAACTGAGAACCGGAGCTCAGGAGGGGGAGATAGCTTCAGATAGTTGGAGTCAATTGGCTATACTGAATGAACTCCTTGTTTGGAGTAGGTGAGACCTACTGGGAAATGGGTCAGGAGGCCCTAGTTTCTAATTTTTTTCTTTTTTTGGTACTAGGGATTGAACCCAGAGGCACTTAACCATTGAACCATATCCCCGGCCCCTTTTGTATTTTATTTAGAGAAAGGATCTCACTAAGTTGCTTAGGGCCTTGCTAAGTTGCTGAGGCTGGCTTTGAACTTGCAATCTTCCTGCCTTAGCCTCTTGAGCCACTGGGATTACAGGCATGTGCCACTGTGCTTAGTCCCAATTCCTAATCTTGACCTTGCTGGCATATATAGAAATATTTTCTCTCTGACCTTTTTCCTCCCCCTCCCCCTTTTAACTGATTTTAGTGTGAACTACATGTGCAATAAAGTCTTTTTTTTTTCCCCTGTGGTGTTGGGAATTGAACGCAGGGCCTTGTGCACATGAGGTAAGCACTCTACCAACTGAGCTACATCCCCATCTCTGCAATAAAGTCTTTATTTTTGAATGTAAATCCCATTTTCTCTATTCTACATGCATGAGTGAGTGTGTGTGTATGTGTATGTTGGAGCTGGTGGGGCTTCCTCACTTTCCTGAGTTGTAATGGGAAGCAGGTAACCAGTGTACGGTTCTTTTTTTTAATGTGGTGTTGAGGATCGAACCCAGTACCTCACACGTGTTAGGCTGCCCCAGCCCCCAGTGGATACTTCTTTAATTAGGTTTTATTACCGTGAAATTGGCAAGTCCTAGTCAGTTGTTTAACTTGTCAGTAGTTTGTTTTCTAAGGAATCACCAGATTTTCCAAAATTACTTTTGAATTTTCTGATGTTGGGATGCAGTCCTCTGTTATGCATTAAGAGTTTGGATTAGGGCTGGGACTGTAGCTCAGTGGTAGAGTACTTGCCTCGCACAGGTGAGGCACTGGGTCTGATCCTCAGCACCACATAAAAACAAACAAACAAATAAATAAATATATTGTGTCCATCTACAACTGAAAAAATATTTAAAAAAAGAGTTCAGATAAACCCACTCTTGGTTTACTTATAGCAGAAGAATGGATAGAACAGGGATAATTTGGAATCAAAACATCATTTTCTCAGTAATTCAAATTAATATTTTTTTGTTTTTGTTTGTTTGTTTGTTCCTGGGGATTGAACCCAAGGGTGCTTTACCATTGAACTACACCGGCAACCCTTTTTAATTTATTTTGAGACAGGGTCTTAATTGCTCAGGGCCTCACTAAATTGCTAAGGCTCACCTGGAACTTGTGATTCTCTTGCCTCAGCCTCCTAAGTGGCTGGGATTACAGATGTGTGCTACCACACCCTGCCCAAATAATTCAGATTTGATCTTGTTATGCATTGGAGTAAGCTTAGTAGTTGGCTGACTTTCTCAGCTGTAGCTTCATTAAGTTATTATTGACATGAGTGTCCCTGAGCATTGTAGCTGGACTGAATTAGGCCCAGTCAGTTGTGTAGGCTAGGCAGATGGAAAACAGCCGGGATTAAAATGTTCTGATAGGTAATCCTCTTGTAAATAGCGTGATCTGATTAATGTAAAGAGTCAGAGTCAGTTCACTACTGCCTGTAGTCAGCCTGGCTGCAGCCCTTTGGAGTCGCAGAACATGTGACTGGTTCTACTTGGGCACTTTGATGTGCCGGGTGCACTTGGCTACCCTGGGGCATATTGTGAGTTATAAATATATTTTAGATCTCTGGGCCCCTAGTGGAATGGACTTCCTTTGGCTGAGCCAGGAGGAGAGTCATCTGG